TCCAACTTTATGGCTAGTATACCCAAAGCACTCCAGTTCTCCCAACGGGCGCCCAGAACATGGTGCTGTGAGAACTGTGCCAGCCATCCTGCAGCCGGAAAGGATGCTGGAAAAGGCAGCTGAAGTAGTCAAGGCTCTGGACCAACTCCTCCACAAGGAAAGGCTGCAATGGTTGGAACTACAGTAACTGACTTAGAAAAAAGGCTAATAGGGGAAGACATGATGATGGAGGAGTGCAAAATTATGCATGGGAGGAGAGGTTTTTCCTTCCCTTTCTTGTTCTACAAAAAGGGTTGTGAACCAAATGTTGTGCGAAAAGAATGACAGCCTAATCAGGCCTTTCGTTCGGTATAGCATGTCTCTTACTTTTCTGTACTCATCCTAGAGCTGGTACAATTTGTTTTGCTCCCATTAGGAGCAACATGAGTAGAAACCTAAACAACAAAGCAAAAACATGGATGAAAAATACTATAGGAAGCAAGAAAAGAAAAGGTTGCTACCATCCAACTTGCTGGAGAAGCTCAATCAGAATTTGGATTGGGTCAGACATTGGCTGTATGTCTCTCCTCCCTTTTAGTTGGAGTTACTGTATTCTTTTAACTGGTTAGGCTGCTTTGCCTAGAGTAATTGTCCAATATAGACATTGCAGTTGTAGGACTTACTATCTCAGAAATGTTTATGGCTGATCATGCCAACAAATCTTATGAATTGCTTGATCATGCGGGACATTGTGGCTTGGCCACTGTTGTTTCTGTTCACATGGGCCACATGGCACTCTTGAATTGCATTTAGGACATAAGTCTCAAGAAGAGCCTTTTGATTGCTGTGCTGATGTTCCTTGAGGCCATTTCTGCGACAGGCAAAGCGCAGGAGATACGGCTACACATGAAAGCACCACTCGTGGAATGCCTTATCGTGAGTACGCTGGATCCGACCTTGGACCAAATTGTCTCACTGTCCCTGAGGAACCCAAGAATAAGATGATGGCAAAGGTGCTGGGACCTCAGTTTTCACCACTCAGTAGAACCACCTATGCTGCTAGCTGGGCCACCCACTGCTGCCCCTGGGGGGGGGGGCAGGTCATTTCTCCAGAGCCGGTTTGAAGTAGGCCATAAACCCAATCCCACCTCAGCCGTGGGGTAGGACTGTTGATTGGTCTGTTTAAAATACAGCATGTGTAGGCTCAATCCCTCTCAAGGATTTGAGAGTCTTCCCAAATTAATGCAAGAGGAATCTGGATGATTAAAAATTGTCAATGTTGCAGTCTGAAGAACTTGACTTTAACACAAGTGTTGGGGGTGGGGGAAACAGCTTCTTATTACCAGATCCTGGGATACCTGCAAAGGTGAAATGTTACCTCAGCACCTACCCCCTCAAGGTCAGGACTCCTTCTATGTTTCTGTTATGTCTGGCAGGTGCTGATAGAAAGAGAACCCACGTCCATTTTGGCCGACACTGTGCGTCAGGATGCGATGTATATCGTTAAGGAACTGAGGTAGTATGCAGCTGCAGCATCTTACATGGTGGGGTGGTCGTTTCTTAACAAGGCCCGAAGACTCACTCCTGGATATGTGTAAGATACACTGGAGGTCTTTTAAACAATTGGTTGTAGTCTATTTTCATACATTGTGGTAGTAGTCACTTGTGTGCTCCTGGCAGAAATCAGACAGTCACTCTCTTTTGAAGCAAAGAGGCCTATGCTTTTGCGATCCATGGGGAGTCCCGTTTCCATCCATATAAATTGCCGTAAGTGTCGCTTTCTGTGCAGAATGAGAGATCAGAATTCAAGCTTCAGGGCCCCCCAAAATGGGGTTCTGCCACCGTGTGAATCCCAGCCAACAGTGATGCCAGTGTCCTTGAACTCACGATAACAGTAGTGATGTTCTGGCACCCCTGTTGAAAAAAGGGGTGGGACAAGATTATTCTGCATCTGAGGAGCAGGCTGAGCATCGCCCTGCGGTAACTTCATCACGCACTGCTAGAGTTGCTACATCTGAAGCGCGTTTCTCTTTTCACAGCAAACTGAAGCCCCTCCTTGAGTCAGAAAAGAAAAACATCCTCCTCTGTGTCTCTTTCAAAAGTGTCCTTGGTCTGGCTTCACTTGCCAGCCTTGAAGGGCAATTATCCGGGGTAGAGGAGGAGGCCGCTCAAGACATCCAGGTGAGTCTTTCTCATCTGTGTTTGTTTGTTTGTTTACCAAAATCAGCTTTATTTCCCACAGTATAGGTAACACATTGTATCATTATAGATACTGGATGAGAATTAGGATTATGGTCTGAGAAAGCAATGAAGTCCCCACTAATTGTAAATGCAAATTCATACCAATAATTCCAATTGATTCAATGCTGGAGCTGCCACTTGCATTGGTAGGGCTGAGCAATAACACTTGTGAATTGAAATCTCCCCCCACACACACACACACACTCAGACCCCCGTTTTACATGTAGTGGTTTCAATGGCAATAAAAGTATGGCCAGTAACAATTTGGGAAAGGGAAAATGTTCAAGGCTCTTCTGTGCCACTCACTGTTTGATAGCACACACTTGTTGTTACCCTCGTGGTGGCAGCATGGAGCTGCTATTTCTGTCCGCCTCCCCAACCCCCAAATGCCCAAAGATGCAGAATCTTAACAGACTATGTTGCTAAAAAACTAGATAAGTACATAAGTAATTATAAAATCACATCAGCATATATGAAAAATCTTACCCATCCCAGCAGAGTTTTCTCCCCTCTAATGACCCTCTTGTGGCATCCTTTGCTCCTTTTGCCCCAGCTATCTTTTGGGGCATTATTTATACATTTATTCTCCCTTTATCTATTATAAACAATCGTGTCTGTAGGGTGTAAATATCTAGAGGCCTGGAGAGTCAAAGAACGTTTTTCAGTAGGATATCCACTTGTTTCTGTAGCTTTTGTAACTCCAGACATCTGTAACCTGACAGTTGTTATTGTTATGTTATTGACTAACTTTTTGCAGAGTTTACTCTAATAATGCTCTGTACCATTAAGCATTCAACGTGCTAAGATATTGTTACCCTAAAATCCTGAAATGCTAGATTAGAGATGGGCATGAAATGAACCATGAACCAAAACATCCAACAAACCAGGCTGGTTCATGGTTGATTTCACGGCCCAGTTCAGGGATTCTGTTTTGCAGAAGCAAAACAAAATGCCGAACTTTTTTCCCTTTGGCATTTCATTTGCTTCCACAAAAGAGACTCCCCCCCTGCCCCCTTCCCACTGCCCCCCATTGCCTCCGCCTGTCTCCTTCTGCTGCCTCCGCCACTACCTTGGGGGCCACCATCCCTGCCAGAAGACAGTTGCTGCATCTGCCCACGTCCCTGCCGATCAGCTGTCTGGTGGGCACCTACTCAGAGGCATGCACCTGACATCCAGCTGATAGGTGGGCACATGTGCAGAGACAGTGCCTTCCCTGCCAAGAGCTTGCTGCCACCTCTGAAAATATGCCTGCATTGGCAGCAGAGGCGGAGGCAGCAGGAGGAGGGAGGGGCTCCCCCAGGCACACATTGGAAAAATGAATCATGAACCAGTTCATTTCTTCAGGGGTTCATGGTGATTAGTGGTGAGCCAGGAACCAGGAACCATTATGAACCATCCGTTTTCCGGTTCACACTCATTTTGAAGGCAAAATAATATACTCCGCAAAAGGGTGCAGTATAGGACTTCCAAACACATCTCATATTTAGGCTATAATGGAAACCTATACAACAATAAAGATTGTCTTGGTATGAAGACCTTGCCCAGCAGGGACGCTGGCTCTTTGTTTTGAAATGACTATAGTAAGCTTTTATTCAAGCTTCAATTTTTAAAAGCACTTTCATTTTCAGGGCTGCATCTTCCATATGCCACTTCACTATGTTTACACTCTATGCACACAAACATGTTACGCCTTAACACCTTCTGCCACATACAAGCCCTTGAGTCACTGCTTAAATCAAAACTCTTGCAAAAGGGAAATCCTTTAGTTTTTGTGAGTTTTCCAGGCTGTTTGGCTGTGTTCTTAAGGTTTTTCCTCCTAACATTTTGCCAGTCTTTGTGGCCGGCATCTTCAGAGGACAGGGGCCAGAACTCTGTCTGTGCTGTGAAAATCCTTTACTCAGAAGGTGTGGCTTAAAATCTCTTGATAACAGTGACTTTGCGAGAGGAATGGTGGGGGTGGGGGTGTCATGCCTCAATTGCTCTGACCTCCTTTGCCACTGAGTGGAGTGTGAAGGATTTCTTTTCGCCGGACTAGTGACATCCTCATATGTTCTCTGAGAACTAGTCCAAGGCAGAGAGCAGAGTTTCTGAGTGAAGTTCAACTCCCAAAGTGCAGAGTTTGCATCCAGGGGGTGACTGCATGAGCCCCATAGCCTTAGGTCTGCATCACCAAACACGGCCATTTCCACCTACCAAGCTATGAAGTGCTGAGTGGAGCTGTCTCCTTGTGCTTCAGGGCCTCTACTATCAGACCATGAACAGTTTCGAAGAGATGCTGCAGGCTTTACTGTTGGAGAATCCGTGTCCACTTGAGCTGAAGCACATGATGGAGGTATACCGGAAGGGTTGGGGTCTTTCGCTCAAAGGGAAGGGGGCCACAAGGGAGTCAGCTGAGGCACCGTGTGTAAACCTTGACATGCTCATAATTGCGGGAGTTTGTCCAAGAGCCACTTGCTTACACAACATACTGTGCATCTTTGGTGCACACATACAGTGTCACCACACACTGCACTGTAACGGGAGAGACCTGGATGCCTTTGGCAAGAGTTGGTGTTACCCATGCTTTTCAAAGTTTTGCTCCCCAGGGCCAAACCTCTGTCTGTGATGTTCGCGGCATCATGAAGATCCCCTCTGTCCTTTCAGTCCAGGTAGCAACTGTAGAAGGGAAGATAAGAAAGGGCACATCCTGGCACATGGGAAAAGCAGGAGGCTGACTCTTGCTTAGCCCTCTCCTGAACAGAATTGCTGTCGGTTGTTGTGGGTTTTTCGGGCTCTTTGGCCATGTTCTGAAGGTTGTTGTTCCTAACGTTTCACCAGTCTCTGCGGCCATGGGCATCTTCAGAGGACAGCACTGTCCTCTGTGCCACCCTCTGAAGATGCCGTCTACAGAAACTGGCGAAACGTTAGGAAGAACAACCTTTAGAACACGGACAAAGAGCCCGAAAAACCCACAACAACCATCAGATCCCGGCCGTGAAAGCCTTCGCGAATAGAATTGGTGTCCTCTGCATTGAATACTGGTGGGAAGGGAAAAGTCCCTTGGATGCTGCCAGAGCGTTCCCTCTGAGAAACAAAAAGCAGGCGGACGGAATTTTGCCTGGGCTGGGTTGGAAGGCAGAGCAATTTCTACAAACCACATTTGATGTTTTTGAAATGTGGAGCTTTAGCAGCTTTTTAGAATTTTTTGAGCTTCTACTGGCTTGTTTAGCAACTTGGGTGACTAAGGGCCAAAGGAATGCAACCCAGCCGCTGGTATTTGCCTCCAATTATTCTGCTACATGTGGCAGAAGACCTCTGGAAATAGACCTCAATGATAATTGAAGATTTTTGCACATGACCTTATTCTTGCATTGATATTATCCTGCAACCCTGCTGAAACCTGGGCTGCAGCTACTCGTACAGAAATATTTCACCTGGCACAAGCTGAAAATGGTGTCCTTTACTTGGGTGAAAGGTGTAACCAGAGGGTATCCACAGGTGCAATTAATTTGAACTTTTATTTAAATCATGGCAGATAAACAGGGATAAGATCTACAAAATGAAGACACAATATAAAAGAATTTAAAGGAAAATCAATGAATTTTTGGCAAAATACAATGCAATGATGAGATGAAAAGTGGAAAAAGAATCAGATGAAATTATAATTACAGAAAATTAGCCACAGTTAACTCTTTATAAAACACTGTATTTGTTCCTAATTTTCCACCAGCCCTCTAGTTGAAGCTCACTATGTTCAAATATTTGACTTAAAGATTGAGAAAGAAAGGCATATAGCTACCTTTTCCAAGAAACAGGTTCCTGAAGAGTGAGGGGAATGTGCCAGAGAATTGATCCATAAATTAAAAGGAAGAATGTAAACTTAAGTAGTAAAACCACAGAGAGAGAGAGGTAGGTAGGTATAGAATTGCCTCAAAGGAGTAGTCTGGCCCATTGTAAAAACTGAAACTTCTCTCAGAATTAAGACAAACTAAGGCCTAAAGGCTGCAGAGCAGTTACTATCTGCAAAAGGAAAAATTATATAAGAAAAAGTGAACTGAGAAGCTTCTGCATGTGAACATGAATGTGAGAATGAATGAATGTGACTCTGAGTCTGATCCTCCTTGTTCCAAGCAACTATGGTTTTTTTGCTCCACTGATGCCCCTAATATTCCTGCATTAGGGTTGACTTTCTTACCTTCACCCCCTAAACTTCAGTTCTGTGTTGGCTGATGGCATGCTGGGAGAGAAAGTGCATTGCACCACTTTACTTTATTTCCAGAGACTGAATCATTCCTTTGTCCCTGGGGCACACGATGTGATCATAGCATCTTGTCTGGGTAATCTCTGGGACAGAAGCCACTGCAAGTGTCCAGCCTTAGAGCCGGCCACCCTTGTCCCGTGGTCTTCCAGCTCAGCCAGAGCCTGATTGCCACAGAAGTCATGCATCTGGCTCATCATACCGACAGAAGCCCAGGCTGGGCGGAAGGCTCCGCCCTTTTTGCCCAAAGTCATCGGTGTTCTTTATGAAAGAAGCCAAAGATTTCCTGGATGCCATTCCGTGGCCAGGCCTTTTCCTGGGTCGGCAGTCCATTCCGTAGGCTGTTTGTCTGCAGGCCAGTTCAGTCCACATGTCCACAGCCATTTTGCCCGGTGTGTACTTAGGCACATCAGCGCTATTTTCAAGCTACCCCAGGGCTTCTGCCCTGCCTGGCCAGTACTGGGAGGTTTCCCAGCGGCTGATGTTGACGGCGTCAGGGCTCATCTTGCATCGAAAGCCCTTGCTGCTGGAGCTGCCTCTGAGGCGAAAGCGCCACTGCTGCCTGGCCAGTGCCGGGGAGGCTTCCCAGACGCCTCAGCCGCGTTTCTGCTGAGGTGGGAACCGCTCCGCCGGCCTCTCCTTTTTCCCTGCCTGGCAAGCAGGCGAGGCGGCCTCAGCACAGACCTGTCAGTCGTGGTGAAAAGCCTCCCGGCACCGGCCAGCCTGCAGGCTGGGGGCTTCTTCTAAGCCAAGGATTCACATTAAAGCAAGACGTGAGAAACGGGCCATTTTCATGCCTGTTTTAAATCAACCCATGGTTAAAAAAATATCTTACAACAGGTTACCTGAAGCATGTAATTCCTGCCTTAAAGACCCTATTGATCACGGGAGCAGGGAGTGCGCGTGGATCCAGCCCCTCTTCCTCTTCCCTGGCCGATTTATTGGCGGCCCAGAACAAGTGTGTGCTTGCCCTCTGTTTTATAGCTCATGGAACCATGGATAAGGTCAGCATTAGACCATGAGCGTGAGAGAGCAGTTGAGACGGCAATGAAGTTTTTGAGATTTATAGCTGGCCATGTCTTCTTCGATGTGAGTAGCCACCCAGTTTGGATGCTTTCCTTGTGACCAAACTGCCCCACGGGGAAAAAATGGGCCTGAAGACATGCTGGGCAAGAGTGTCCCATCGAGGGCCTTCCCTTTCTTTTTCAGCTGTCTCGGGAATTCAGCAAGCTGGCCCACCTCACCGCAGTTCTGATCGGTCTGTGCAATGATCCGGTGCAGCACGTCAGCTGCTGTGCGGTGCAAGGAGTCAGCTGCCTCTGTGAGGTTCTGTTACGCCAGAAGGGTAAGCGCTGCCCACAAGGCTCTGCCACCACCAGTCCTGCCTACTTTGTGGGCCCTGTGCCTCTGGAGCCCGGCTCCGTTTGGAGGGTGAACAGCTTTGGCAGGGGGCCGGTGGCTTCTTGACTCATCAGAGGCAGCATAGATTCCAGCAGTCAGGGCCAAAGCCACCCTTTTCTTTTGCCCGACAAAGGTTTCCTTGGCCTTTGCCCTGCCTGCTTAGCTGTGGGGTCACCAGCTGCCTAGGCTGAAGCCTCCACAGACAGGAATTCCTGTGGGCAGGGGTGTAAAATGAAATGGGTTGGAGTTTCTTCTACAGTAAACTCTTCTGGAGACCGAGTGCAGGTGATTTTACGCTTGTTGCCACAAATTTTTGTTGAAATATTCTTTTGATCCAGAACTTATTCAGAAAGCAGTGTGAAAAGGAGGTGTTTTTTCTTCTTCTTAAATAAGTCCATATGAAACAGAGCAAAGAAGCCTTAACTAAACACTTGAATTGAATAAGGGCTCACTGAAGTGCTAGATGTCACTTTGGTACTTCAGAAGTTAAAAATCCAGAGCAGCACCTTTTGTTTCAAATGCTCTAGGGGTGACTGACAGTGAATCAGTGGTGCTCACTGGAGGCATCAAACAAAGGAGAGATTCATAGGCTGGAGGTGAAGGGAGGGAGGGAGGAAGGGAGGGAGGAGCTTTGCTTGCACCCTGGAGGTTGAGCAGTAGTTGATGACTCACCCCATTGCCAATCCAGGTTAAAATCCTTTATTTCCCCCATGACATTTTCCCCCAACAATTCAGACAAAATTTCAATTACAGTGGTGCCTCGCAAGATGAGCAATTCGTTTTACGATGAAATCGCATCACGATGGAGTTTTTGCGATTGCAAAAGCGATCGCAAAACGATGTTTCCTATGGGGCTTTTTCGCTTTGCGATGATCAGTTCCCTGCTTCGCTAACCAATCATTGCAAAACGACGATTTTCACACAGCTGATCAGCTGTTTCAAAATGGCCGTCGGGTAAAAAAATGTCCGTCCACTGTTTTCTGGGACGGATTCCTCGCTGCACGGGCAGCGAAAATGGCCGCACTGTGGAGGATCTTCGCTGGACAGTGAGTTTCAAGCCCATAGGAACGCATTAATCGGGTTTTACTGCATTTCTATGGGCTTTTTAAAATCGCTTTACAATGTTTTCATTCTACAGCGACTTCGCTGGAACGAATTAACATCATAATGCGAGGCACCACTTGTATTGTATGCAAATTGAATTCAAAAGGCCTAAAATTGGCTTGAAGCAAATCAACTGCAATTCGTAAGACAACTCAGTGGAGTGGATTGAAGCACATGGCATTTTTATACCCCTAGATGTTTATGTGCCGTTAATCAAGCCACACAAATGCACTTTCAAGCTATGTCTGACATTCTCTTTCTGAGAGCTGCCCGGGTTCTTTGGCTGATTGCTTTCAGGGACGTCGTGTTTCAGAGCTCTTTAAATCCATTGGTTGCGAACAGACTTTGGTATGAGTTGAAATGAGTCTTCTACTTACCACACGTTTTAAATTTCTGTTTAGCAAACTGAATGCCCCACGAGGTAAGTTTTGTTTTAGCAGCCAGCAAAATGTGTGATGGGAGCTAGACCATCATCCTAGCCCCCATCATCCTGTCAGTCCTCATCTACACCCAGTTGGTTTCTCACCTTTAACCATCATCCCTATTTCACCGCATACCTGAGAGACACCTGTCTCCCTGCCCTTCCCTTCATGTATCTGCCCACCTTTCTTTGCTCTCTCCAGCCAGACAGTGGCTCTGCCCTCCTTCCATTTCTGCTGCACCCTTTTCAGGCCTGCCTTCCTTTGGCCTTGACTGCAGCCAGAAATAGTCCTTGGAGATGGCCCATGAACTTCCTTAATCTTCACGATCATGTAAATAAGCTTGCTTACCCTAAAAAGAGCCTCACGAGTCAGTGTTTAAAGTGCAGTACTTTAGTCAAGACTCTACTCGTGACCTGAGTTCAATCCCAACAGGCTCAGGTAGCCAGCTCAAGGTTGACTCAGCTTTCCATCCTTCCGAGGTCAATAAATTGATCACCCAGATCATGTGGGCGGGGGCAATGTGTATCCTGCATAATTAAATTGTAAAGTGCCCAAAGCGTGCTTTAAACGTTGTTTAAACATTCCCTCAGTCACCTCTCTGCACATTAGCATGTTTTTCGCTCTACTAACAGAATCCAGATTGTACAGCTGGAAAGGACCCTAAGGGCCATCCAGACCACCCCAAGGGTAAAGTAGGCCATGCCCAGCCAGCACGGCCCTCAGAAGGTGAGCCATTCCACTGCTGATTACGGAATGGCAGGTGATCTGTCGTGCCTATTTTTGGCCGCAGCTTCCTCCATCCCCTCTCATCCCCTCTAGCCACTTAAGCCACCCCTTTTGCTCCCACCTCCCACTGCACTTGCCTTTACAGTGTGTTTGTAGCCCCCCCTGCGCCCCATCTTAGGGGGTGCCATTTCATTGTTTCAGGTTCTCCATCTCTACAAGTCCTCCCCTCGCCCAAAAAACACCACCTTTCCTTTCTTATCCTGCTTGAGTTACTCTCATGAAACGATGTCAGAGCTGCCGTCCTGCCTATTCTCCAGAGGGCCCCATGCCTAAAGCTGCTTTTTGTTGCTGTGATACCTTTCCTTGTTTTCCCAAAGAGGGATAACATCTGTTCTGTCCCATAGAGCTCAAGGACCTCAAGCAGAAGAGGCGGAAGTGGTTTGGGAAGAGAAGCTCCAAGCCGGAGGAAGAGGAAAGCCTGTCTCTCCTGAGAGTCGACAGCAGCTGGCACGTTGCCACGGTAGAATCCTGGAATCACAGAGTTGGAAGGGGCCCACAAGGCCACTGAGGACCAAACCCCAAACCCTCTTGCTCAAGGCAGGAATCCACATTTGCCAGTTGGTGGTCCAATTAATTGTTCTTTCGGATGCCTCCAGCCTTGGAGCGCTCACCACTAGCCGGGCTCTGCTTTGTCACTGTTTCTGGTTTGGACTGATTCGCCCATCAAGGACAGCAGACACTTTCTGCTGAGGGTCTTATGGTGGATAATGTTAGCAGTTCACCCTTCTTGCCACTGGAGATACTGCCAGAGAGCTGGGACCTTCTCCCCGCGAAAGCTGAGCTGAGCCCTTCACCCTGTCCTTTTTAGTGAAAGGGATGCGTGGCCAGGCCTGGCTTGACGGCACCAACCTGTCTGTCTGCTCCCTGCAGCCTCACAGTGACCTGCTCTTCTCATCTCAGCTGACCAACCTCCTGCTCTCTGTTCTGGATAGCTTGAAAGGGTCTGACGCGGGGCTGCTGAAGGCGGCGGAAGAGGTCCTCAACGCTATTGTGGAGAACCACGCCATGAAGATCAGAAGGGTGAGAGGCCTTCTTGGGGGTGGGTGGGTGTTTCAGTCCCTCCCAAAACTTTGGACTAGAGGGAATGGCATGATTGATATTCTAATGGGGCTGAAAAGAGACCTGTAAGTTTTGACTTTTGGGAAGAGTTAGGGTTAGGAGGCTGAGCAAGGAGATGGGAAGGGACAAGTGGAATCCCCCGCAGAGATGCCCTCCCACCTCTGTGTGCTTCCCCATTGCTTTACCCTGAACCCGTCTTCCTTGTTCCTTTTGCATGGAGAAGTCGGAGCAGAGCAGAGTCAGGTTGTCTGTTGCTCTCCCTCTGCAGGGCTAGCCAGTTGACCAGGCATCTCCCTCAGTGTCACCTCCGACAGTTCAGGCCTGGAGAGAAGCCACCAGAACAGCTCCTCTCCTCCAAGGGAGTGGGTCAGAGCAGCTCCTCCCTGGACACAGCTGGCCCTGCCTGTGGCTGATGCCAGCCAACCCTGTTGGGGGGGGGCTGCCTGAGGGGGACACCCACACGCTGACTTGGTGTGAAAGCCTCCTCCTTCGTTCCCCCTGATGTTCACTTTCCTCTGGCCGCCAGCAAAAGGGCTGGAGTTCCCTCTGCTCAGCGGATCCCCTGCCCCTGAACTGCTCTGGGGACTTGTCCCATCCCTCAGGGGGGCCCAGAAGACCCAGCGGCCCCACTCGGCATGGTCACGGTAGACCAGAAGGCCCCACCCCACCTCTTGGGCTGCGCATGCCATCGGCCCCAAATGGGCTCCCCACTCCTTCCTGTCACAAGCCGGACGTTGTTATTTTGGAGCCTTGCCTCAACTCATCCTCTTAACTGGGAGGGGAACCAGTTCCTTTCCAAGGGGATGGAGGGGAGGTCACTGGCAACCTTTGTGGGCTCAGCAGGCTTAGAAATAGGATGCCCCTTCTGCCCGCTTGGCTCGAGACCTGCATTTGCCAAAATGGGCCTGGAGAACGAGGGAACAGGATGCCCTGACCAGCCTTTGGGCTGCCTCCCTCCTGCCCCATGAGGTGGGGGCAGTGTGGGACCGCTCTGGGTGTCCGTCCAAGGATGGGCTGGGGTTCACCCTTTGATGTCCTGCAGGTGGAAGACGTCATGGGGGCCATCTACTGCTGCCTCCAGCTCGGCCAGTCTTCCTACTGGACCCGGAAAGTCGTGCTGAGGGCCTTGGGCTTCTTGTTGCCGTCTCACATGGAGGAAGTGCTGCGAAGCTGCCTGTCCTTTTCAATACCTGTGAACAGGTAGAATACCAGTTTATCTTAATGCTGGGCAATCTGGCACATCCAGAGTCTCTAGCCAGGCTTTCCCTCTTTAGGGAGAGGCCCCTTGGCCAACGATTTCCTGGCAGGGAGGAACACTGACACGTTGGTCTCCCGTGGTGAATTTCCAGGCATGCCAATGAGCTCTGGACAGCCATGGCTACTGGCCCCCAGGTGGCCACGCAGGTCCTGCAGCTCCTGCTCAAGAATCTCCAGGTCAAGAATCCTTTGGAGGGTGATGAAGACATCGCCACCATGTCCTTAGCTGTGAGTAGCTAGCCCCTGGTCTTTCTCTGGCTTTGCCCTGCATATTGCTGTACTTCATTGTGGCCTGCAGATTATTTCATTCAGTCATTTAGTTATTTATTTAAAATACTTTTATCTCACCTTTCTCCTTGAAAAAGACCCAAGTCAGCTTACATAATTAAAAAGACAATATTTAAAAGTTTTTTTAAAAAATAAGTGTACAAATATTAAAAAATGAATTAAACAAGTATTATATTAAAAACAGTAAATAAAATCAGTACTAACATTCCTTTAAAATAACAGAGCCCAACAATCCATTAAAATCTCTTCTCAAACTGCCAGTCACAGGGACGGCTTGCCTGAAGAAAAAGGTCTTCTCCTGCTTGCAGAAGGACAGCCTGGCCTCCTGTGGGGGGGGGGAGTTCCAAAGTCTGGGAGCAGCCACAGAGAAAGCCCTCTCCCGTGTCCCCCATCAGATGCACCTTTGAGGGTGGTGGGACTGAGAGGAGGGCCTTCCCTGGTGATCTTCAAGTCACTGCCAGTCACAGGGACGGCTTGCCTGAAGAAAAAGGTCTTCTCCTGCTTGCAGAAGGACAGCCTGGCCTCCTGTGGGGGGGGGGAGTTCCAAAGTCTGGGAGCAGCCACAGAGAAAGCCCTCTCCCGTGTCCCCCATCAGATGCACCTTTGAGGGTGGTGGGACTGAGAGGAGGGCCTCCCCTGATGATCTTCAAGCCCAGGCGGGCTCATAGAGGGAGAGGTGGTCTTTTAGATAGCTTGGACCCAAGCCAGATTGCCAGGGTGCTCCTTCCCTCAGCAGGGAGCAAAGCCTCAGAAACCACTTTAGATCCATTTCCCCTTGGAGAGGACAATGTTGCAGGGAGACCATGCCCTTCCTTGCTACACTCAGAGGGTGGACTTCACACCATCTCACTCAAGATGGCAGGGTGTGGGCCAGCTGTAGAAGTGGGCCCGTCGGTCCTTTGGCTGTCACCTCTTCAACCTTGAGCAGTTTAGTTGGTCTGGAGATGGAGGTTTGATGGAGTCCCAGGGAGGCAAAATGAACAAGCTGGCACGAAATGCTCTCTTGAGTTAAAACAGGGGGTGGGCGACTTACGGCCTTCGAGACTTTGCTGGACTGTGACTCCAGACCCATCTCATCATGAGCTATGCTGCTGAGGAGATGGAGTCCGAAGGGTCACAAATTCTTGGCGTCTCCTTTGAAGTACCTTTGATGCATCCGGATGCAAATCCCTGGATGGATCCAGGTCAGGTGCTGCTATGAGCAGCCATAGATCAGCACATTTCCAAACAGATGCTTCAAGAGAACTAAATGATTGTATAATAAAGGAATCAAATATGCCAAAGAGTTTTCCCAAAGCATTATCTTTCTTCAAGATCGCCCTATAACTAAAGGTATCCATGTTGAATGTTATGTCTGCAAATTCTAATTGAGCAGCTTAATCTTACTACTTTTTTGAGTCATAATTATAATTTATTTTTTGTTCTATCATTTATCAAAAAAGAAGAAGAGAAAGACAGAGAAGACCAGTCTCTTATAATAAGGGGGGGCAACATTTACCCCCAAGTCACAAACAGTATCTCCAAGGGCCATTTTGGAAGCCTCCCAAGATCCCTGGGGGTTCCCACTCACCACCCCCAAAATTAAATTTGAAACATCCCTTGAGTCCTCAGAGGAGCACAGAGATAATTTTGCCATGTGTTACATTCATGGAATCATACAATAATGGAGTTGGAATGGACATCAAAGACCATCAGGCCCAACCCCCTGCTCAGGGCAGGAATCTAAATCAAAGCCGATCTGACAGATGGATGTCCAGTTTTCCCTTGAATGCCTCCAGTGTTGGAGTGCTCATCACCTCCTGAGGTCATGGGTCATACTGCTCTAACATTTAGGCAGATTTTCCTGATATTCAACCGAAATCTGGCTTCCTTTAACTTGAGCCCATGGTTGTGTGTCATGCATTCAGGGATGATCGAGAACAGATCTTGCCCCTCCTCTGTATGACAGCCTTTCAAGGATTTGAGAAGTGCTATCCTGTCTCCTCTCAGTCTTCTTTTCTCAAGGCTAAACATGCCCTTCTTTCAGCCTTTCTTCTCAGGGCTTGGTCTCCAGTCCTCTGATCATCGTTGTTTAAGGTGGTCCCAGCACCCATTGTTAAAATGTTTTAGCCAATAGAGGGGACAAGGAGGCTTCTGTTTTGGAACAAGACACCATTTAAAATCCTTTCTTATAGTAACATACAGAATAAATGCCAGCTTCTGGCATCTTTAAGTCTTGAATTCTAAAACTTTTCCATTTCAACACATACTAATTTGATCACCATGACTTTAAAGGTGTTAGTGTACATAGTATAAGCAAAACCATATGCCCAGTCCCAGAGAATTGCAGTGGGAATAGCACAGGCCAGAAGCTGTGCTATACCATTGACATTTGATTTCTGAAGAATGGAGAATCAGGCTCCCAGTGCCTCTCAGGGCCATGATTTTCTGTTTCACTCTTGTCCCACCCCCTTTCTTCAAAAAGACCCGAAAGAGTTAATTTTTTAAAAAATAGGCATGATCTTTTGCTTGCTATTACTTTCAGGAAACCAGCTGGATACAATCTGTGAGGGTCTGAGACCATTAACAAACTGGGTGGGTGCAGCTTCCATGCTTTCTGTAACTGCACGTTTCTGCTATTAAATTAGGGCTCCTTCAGTCTCGAGAGACTATGGTAATGTGCTCTCTATGGAGGACTTGGAACAGCGTCTGGTGTGGCTAAGAAGGACAATTCGAGAGTATCAATCCCTTCCACACTGAAGACAAATACAATCTGTCCCCTGTCCAGCTCCCTGATTTGGCTGGCTTTGGGACTGCCTCTTTGCCTCGGCCTGCTGAACAAGGATCTCTTCAAATTGGGAGAGGTCATGATGCATCGCCTGCCTCCAGGCTGAGTGCTTAGAGGTCAAGGTTTCCCATCTGTTGAGGTCCATTCCTAAGGCCTTCAGATCCCGCTTGCAGATCTCCTTGGATCGCAGCTGTGGTCTCCCTCTGGGGCAAGATCTCGTCTTGATCATCCCAAACTAGATGACAGGCAACAATAGGTTCAAGTTACAGGAAGCCAGATTTCGGTTGAAATTCAGGAAAAACTTCCTGGTAGAGCAGTACGACAGTGGAACCAGTTACCTCGGGAGTTGGTGAGTGCTCCAACACTGGAGGCATTCAAGATAAATTTAGACAAGCACTTGGCAGATATTCTTTGAACCATTTTTCTGCATTGAATAGGGGGGTGGATTCTATGGCCTTAGAGGCCCTTCCAACATCATATATATATACAGTGGTGCCTCGCAAGACGATGTTAATTCATTCCGTGAAAATCGCTGTTTCGTGAAAACATCATCTTGCAAAATGCGGTTCCCCATTGGAATGGATTGAAATCTATTTCATGCGTTCTAATGGGGGGAAATCATCATCTTGCGAAAATCGCCCATAGGAAAACCATTTTGCGAAGTGCAGACTCAGCTGTCAAAATTGTTGTCTTGCGAAAAACCATCCCGAAAAAAACCCGTCTTGCGAAGCACGGGCCAAAACATCGTCTAGCGAAAATCGCCCATAGGGAAAACCATTTTGTGAAGCGCTATAGCGATCGCAAAAACCCATCGTTTGTGGCCTTTCAAAGTCTGTTAATTTATTTGTAATCATATCAGTCTCAGCTATCTCAGCATGCTTCCCCAGATAACTCCTCGAAGTGTCAAAATTGGAATACTGTGAGTCTGTTCAAAGGCAAGCAAGAATGATTGCCAGAAACTCTCCCTTCCCCTTCATCAAGCCACAATTCTAAAATAGTCACAGAAATTGTGCAGGATTTAGAGCTAGCCATAAAATGACCTGCGGGGGGAGCCAAACACAGAGGGTACCGGTGCAAGTGTGTGTACAGCTTGGGAGGAGATCTTGTCACTGAGATGCGTGCCACCTGGCTTACCTCTTTCAGGCCATGAATGTCATCCACGAGACCTTCCGCATTCCTGGGTACCGAACAGCCCTGGCAGAGATGCACCTTCAGCTATTCATCCCTTTGCTCAAGCAGGTCCTTTATGTGATGCAGATGAACTTGCCTGATTCTTTGAAAGCCAGGCAGGACATAATCCTGAAAGAAAACCCTGAGGCACTCAGCTTCCAGAGGTACCAGAAAAGCTAGACCATGGCAGAGGTTCTTCCGAATTACATGACTTGGAAGGGATCGGTTGGACAGTGTGGCATGGAGTCCCCAGGAGAAGGTGGGCTTTGGGAGCCTTCCTTCCAAAAAGAAGGAACCTTCCAAAAGCTCTGAGTCCAGCATCCTGCCGAGTGTGGGGTTTGCAAGGAAGGGGGGCGGGTCCTGCATCCCCCTGACAGATGCCTTTCCGAACTCTTCTTAAGGAGCTCTAGCAAAGGTCCCCATCTCCCAGGGGACTCCGTGCCACTCTGTCCAACAGCTCTTATCTTTTTAAAGCCAATTCCTCCTAAGGTTTAGCCAAAATGTGCTGGTCTGTTTCTTCCCTTATGAGCAAAAGTCACCTGGCCCTTTGGAGATTTGAAGACAGCTATTATGTCTGTTCTTAGTCTTCTCTCCTCCAGAGTAAACAGACTCAGATCTTCCAAACATTCTTCCTAGGACATCATTTCCAGATGCCCTTGGGATTCTGTTTGTCTTTCTCTGGTGCCCTTGACTAGACACAGGGCTCTAGGGGCTGAGCAGAGAGCAAATAAGGCAACCCAGCCCCTATTGTGAAATATTGCATGCCTACAGGAAATTACAGAAGTGGTCTGCACAATTTTCCCGCCACCTGTCCTGTCCCCAGGTATTCATGACCTCAGCCTGGTGCACCTTCCTTGACCGGGGTGGGGGGTGGGGGGAAAGGGGAGGAGAGCTTACAGCAATTGTTCAGCATGTTTCCTGTAAATGAGCCCGGCTCCAGAAGGGAAGCCCATTCTTGGAAGGAAGCCAAAAGAAGGTCAATTGCCTGGGGGGGAGGGAAGGGGTGGCGTTTGCCCACCCGCAGAAGAGGCTCCTCTGGGATGCTTAATCATACTGCGTGACTGGTCTCAGAGGTGATGGCAGTGGCGATTTTGGGAAGTGTTTGGGTGTGGATTTGTTTGATCCTGCTTCTGCTTTATGTTTGCAGCACTTCAGTCGAGATAATCAAGAATCTTTTCTCAGTGGCTGGGGACTGGGTGGTGTATGCCTGCATTGAGTTCCAGCAAGGGTGGGTGGTTCTGAGCACTCCCCAGCAATTCTTACAAGGCACACGCCTCCTGGCCAGGTATGTTGGCGGTGGTACGTCCTGTCCAGTTGCTTCTGACTTATGCCAAACCCAGGGATGACTGGCCACCAGGAGGTTTTGTCACAAACAGCCCTGCCCGGGTCCTGCAAATGAAAAGCCATTCGCTGCCTCTACCGAGGTCCATGACGAGACCCAGCCAAAAGGCCCCTCCCTTCTCTACCAGCCAGGGCTGTGATTGCTGCACTTGCAGGCAGGAGCGACTCTCAGCCTGGTATCCCACCCCTTGTTGTGCGCACCCTTGGGGGAGGTGTGCTTGTGCGCTGCCTGTTTCACTTGTTGCTCCACAAAGTGCCAACCATAGGAAGGAAGCCACTCCACGCAAGGGAGCAAGTGGCTGCTTGTTGGACAGGGGTGGGGGTGCGGGGAGAGTTTTCTTGGAGGGCACCTCCTGGCTGCCAGAGGCAGAGCTGCTTTCTCCACTCTGGGGCCCTTCAGTGTCCCTCTGCTGCTAAAGACATCTGGGTGGACACAGTCTTGCTGTGCCCCTCTGGCCTGCCAAGCAGCCAGTGACGGGCAAATCAGGCCGTGAAAAGAGGATGCCGTGGGGAAACCGAGCTGCCTGCCCTTCTTCCCTCCTTCCCCCCCCCACCTGTGGGATTCGCTCTGGTCAGTAGGGGTGACCCCCCCTCCCACGATATTATATGGGGTAGAACCCTTTGATGGAGAACTCTTCTTGTAGCGGTTTCACCTGTGGGAGGGGGGCCAGCCCTCCGGCTGCATAACCTCCTGGAGAGTTCAGCCACTGGAGGTCTTGGCCCCCTTCAGGAGGGTCCTGCGTTCCTCCCAATGCAATCGCCAGCCAGATGGAATCTTCTGCTGTTCCCCCTCACAGGGCCATGACCGAGTGTGACAGCCCACAGATCCCAGGGATCTTTGGAGAGGCCGCCCTCATTCTTAACAGTGAGGAGGATGAGCTGAAGAAGATGACGGCTTTGGCTCTCGTGATTGAGGTACAGGAGGCTGAGCAACGGGAGGGGAGGGGAGGGGAGGGAAGGGGAAAGCTGCTCCCGCTGGCCCAGGAGGTGCCTCATCTCAGGCGGTCTTGTGGAAGCTTCCTCGTGGATGACCTTCCAGCCAAAAGGTGATATGCCCGGTCCCTTTTGCTGTCGAATGGGAGAGTGGCCAACATAACACCCATATTCAGAAAGAAGCCCAGGGGAAGAGAGGCGGAAGGCCACAGGCTGGTTAGCTTGACATCTGCTCTTGCCAAATAGGTAAGGAAAAATGCTTAAAGTGGTCAAAAATGCGTGAGGGAAGACCTGCTGAAAAAGCACCAGTGTGGCTTCTGCAGTGGCAAACCCTGCCTTTCAGAGTTCTTTAAGTGCCGGGAATGTGTGCTATATTAGGGTCATAACCCTTCACCAAAGGCCAAAATCCAGCAACCATGAGGGGAAACAAGAAGTCCTCTGATGGACTGGAAACTGGTTAAAGAACGGAAAGCAGGGAGTAGCAAGAAATGGCTAGCCAGAGCACTGGGGGGGGGCACGGGCACCCCCGAGGGTTTTGTGTTGGAACCAGCACTTGTTAACAATCTGAAGTCATCTGAGCAATGAGATGGCCAAATTTGACAGTTACACTAAATTATCTTGGGATATCTGCCTGGACTGTCCAGACCAAGTGACTATAAAGTGGCAAGCACATTTCATACAAAATGTCTTAACCTTGGGTAAAAGTGGATAAATTTTATTTGATTATGACCAACCAGGAGACAACTCAGGGGGAAGGGACTGAAACCTCTAACTCAAAGATAGCGACAGCCCTGCCTGCCATGAAAAAGAATCCATCTGTGTTGCAAAATAAGTGCCAAAGGAAGGAGAGCAAAGGAAGAAGGGAAGACACAACCATCAGAACAACCCATATTGTAATGAGCTTAGACGCTTCTGCAGCACGGACTACTTGTCGTTCTTATCAAAGCATCCCCAAAAAAGAATGCCATAGAGATGAGAAAAGAGCAAAATGGGGGTGGGGGTGGAGGAGGAAGCAGAGGGGCCCAGGCTCTGGAGCCCTTCTTCCTTCTCAAGAAATTTTACTGCATTTGGGGCTCCAGTGTTGAAGAAAGAAGCCAATGAAGTTAGGGATATGTACATGGATGTCTGGCGTGAAGAGACCAAGGCATTCCTCCTACCCTTGTAGCTCCAGGTACCAAAGGATCCTTCAGTGAATCTGAAGGGGAGGCGACTCAGGACCGGCCAAAGGAATCACTTCTTCTCAGAGTGCCCAGCTGCCTCTGGCCTCCGCTGTCACAAGATGCCATTACTGTCCCCAATACAAGTGGCTTGAAGTGATGGTTTGATAATTTCATTGGAGATACAGCTATACGTGGCATCCAGTTACAGTGGATCTCCATCAACTCCAGTAGGAAAGGCAGAGTGCCTCTCGTGTCAGTGGGTAGGACCCATAAGGGAGGAGCTGCTTGGCTCAGCCCCGGCTGGGGGAGGGTTTCCTTGGCCTCTGCTTCACAAATCTCCTCAGGGTGACAGTTGGGGTCCGGGCGAGTGCTAGGGCCAGGCTGCTTTCTCCCTCTTGAGTTTCCTGTGGACTCTCCATTCACAACTAGGAGGGAGCCTTCTAGCCCAAAGGCAACCTTTGGGCAAGAGGGGGGGGAGGGAGGCCCCAGTACACTCCAGGTGATTTTGCTGGCCTTTCCCCTTTAGTTCCTCAAGAGTCCCTCTGCTGTCAAGATGATGAACCGGTTCAACCTCAAGGAGCATCTTCAGGAAGGCATGGCAGCCTCCAACCCGGTCATCAAGGACCTCTGTGTGAAAGGGCTCTGCAGTTTTGTTTTCCAGCAAGAGAAGGTACAGTAAGGGTTTTAGGGGGCCAAGGAGTCCTGACCAACCAAGGAGGTGCCTCGACTCCCCATTTGAGCAGGAAGGGCTGACCAAGGTGCCTCGGTGCCAACAGGGGAAGGCCATGTGCTGACAAGGGCTCCCAGCTGGGCCTCACTTGGCCGGCTGCGGTCCTGCTCCCAGGAACAACTCGACCTGCTTGGACCTGCTCCTTGGGAGGTACCTCTCCATAGACATGGACATCCCTGTGCTGTAGAGCCCTGGGATTCCTTCAGGAAGAGGTTGCCCTGAGGTTGTGAGAACCACCATGTGGGTTAAGATGGTTGAAGTACCCGTTCTGTGAGAGAGGTGAACGTGACCCCTGCTCTCTGGGCCCAGGGAGAGGCCCCAGGCTGGCCTGGGAGGGGCACCTCCTCCACGGAACGGGACCGCTAGGTTCTTCCCAAACTCCTACGAGCAGCTCGGCCCGCTTGGACCAGCTCCCCTCTCCTCCAATCCTTCCTTCCTTCCCTCTCTCTCTTGCTCAGGTGAAGCTCCTGCGTGATCAGCTGCCAGCACTGATGGAGTCCGTGTTCAGCGGGCAGGAAGGGCACGTGCTTGAGGGGCTCGAGAGCATCAGGACTGCCGTCTATGAGATGGATGGGCAGGGGGTCGGGCCCCTCTGTGTGGACCTTGCTCTCAACGTCCGATCTTTTTTTGAGGATGTAAGTTAATGACGTGAGGACCTCAGGAAGCACAGGAATGTCCCACCGCCTCAGACTCAGGGCCCTGAAGGCCACTAGGTCGCTTCCCACAGCAGCTGGGGAAAGACCGTTATCCCCGGTGACTCCCAGGCCCGGGGTATCATGAGCCAGCATGATGGGGCGACAAAGATGAAGGAGGCCGCCATCTCCCTTGGGGCCTCCGTTGCTCCATGGCTGAAGGGCAAAAAGGGGCATCAGAAGCCTGGGCAGGAGTGGGGCTGTTTCCAAAGCCTTCTGAGTGGCTGAAGGAATTTTCCTTCTTCTTTTCTCTCTGTAAGTTTGGAAAAGCCCCAAGGTAATTTCGTTCTCTTAATTTCTGCATGGTATCAAATAGACATGAGGTGGCATAATAGGTGAGGGGTCCTGGAATTTCCAAAGCCAGGGTGCCACCACTGAAATGGCCGTGCATCTGCTCACACTGAGAAGGGACAGAAAAGTTCTTTCAACTTCCCTGCATTCATGCATGAAATAGGTGCCATCTTTACATGTGTTCTCCAGTCTGACATTTCTGTGGTACTTTTGCTCTTTACGATGCATCCTCCACTTCCAACCTAGGATGGGCTGTCACTTTCCATCCATCCTTCTTCCACTTTGAAGCAGGGTCCGCTTACCCTCCTTTCCCCAGAAAGCCTTGGCAAGAAGTTTTCTATGAAGGAGCCAATTTAGCCTTTCCCAGTATGTATAATCAAATCAAAACCAAGAATGACCATGTGGCATCTTTCAGACTAGCAGACTTCTTTAAGTGTGAGCTTTTTTCAGTTGCTGTACACTTCTTGATGTGCTGAGCCACATCAAGGACTAGAAATCAAGATCGAATGGTTGTTGTGGGTTTTTCGTGCTCTTTGGCCGTGTTGGTTGTTTTTCCTAACGTTTCGCCAGTCTCTGTGGCCGGCATCTTCAGAGGACAGCAACCTGTGCTCGAAGTTGTTCTAGAAATGTTGTGGATGTGCCACAACACTGGATTGTCCTGTTGTGTAACCTACAGTATACTCTGGTTAAAAGGTTGCCCTTAGGATAGAACACGGAGAAAGAGAATAGTTTTCTTTTGACAAAGCACCTTTGTAGTTTGTCTCACTGTCTACCCAATTTATATGCAGAAATGCTGGATTAAAGTCACATGACGGATGAGTGAAAACTGGTGAAAGAAAGGACCACTATTTCACAATAGTGAAAGAGACCAGAGGTCTATTCCATGGGGTCTGAGAAATCAACATAAACCTAGGTGGTAGTTGTTATGTGCAAGATCTTTTAGAGATATGTGTGTAAACATGTGCAACAGAGTGAGTTCATACTTCAGTTTAGAACTATTGCTTTACTGTGTATTAAAGTGGCATTTGAAAATTTTCAAAATTCAAATGCTGAATAATTGCTGAAATCAGAATAATGAAGCTTCACAAGCACTCTAAGAAATTAGTTTTTTTGACCGATGTGGCCATCTGGATTTCAGAACGAAGGGAGACAGGCAGAGAGGGTGGTCTGGGCTTCCTCTCTTCCTTCCCTCCCGGATGGTGAGCAGGACAAGGGCCAGAGCCCTCCAGGCTTGGCCGTGGCTTTTGGCTTTTCACGGGCTTCCCCTGTGCTTCTTGCTGTGTGCATGTTTGTCCTTAGGAAAGAGCCGTCGTCCGGGCGAGCGCCTTCTCCTTGTTTGGGCAGCTGGTGGTGAGAGCCAAGGAAGCCGACAAGGCCGTCCTGAGGAAGGAGGTCGAGTACAGCCTGCTCCCACTGCTGCTACACTTGAAAGACCAGGATGTCCGGGTTGCTCTGGCAAGTCCCCGTTGTTCTGCCTGCCCCTCTGGGAAGGGTTGCCCCACACCCTTGTATGCAGACCCTCCTAGCCCCAGCCCAGCCCTCAGCAATGTGGGGCTGGGAAAGGCTTGTCTCTGGAAGCACGGAGAGCTGCTCCTCCTGCCTGTCAGGCCAGACCACGATAGGAGAAGTGGCTGTCGGCTCTAGCTTGGTGTCAGCTCTCTTAAGGGGCTCGGCCTCTGGGGGCCTCTGCCTTCCACAGTGCACGTGGGGGAGGCTTCTTCCAGGCAGAAAGTCCCTTTCCAAGGAGGCTAGGAATTGGGCAGGAGGTAATGTCCAGGTTGGCATGGGCTGGCAGAAAAAGGAGGACCGCCACTTGCCCGTTCTTCTGGAAACATTACCTGATTGCCACAGAAGTTGCAAAGCCTTGGCTGGTCCACGTCCCTCCCTGCCCGGGGCAGCCCCGGACACCATGGGGCGCTCATGGACTGGGAGGTGGGGCTGACTCACCCCCACATTTTGAAGGAAATCCCCCCTCCCCCTGCTCACTAGCCATTACTGGCTCCAACCATTTGATAACCTCAAGCAGTTTTACTGTTTCCATTCAGGAGGGAATGGTGGGGTCCAAGATTGCTCACAAGGCCACAGACACGGATTGAGGGTGGGAGCATAAGACACCCCTTCGTGCCTTGAACGGACTCTTGTCACCAGGCAAATGTTTCTGGTTCAGTAGAGTAGGCACTCATGTTCTTCAGTCCTATGATACACCATGAACCCTGTGCTCTGCTGAGGATCAGCAAAACTAGGGGCTGGATTTTGGGGTTGGTGGAATCCTCTAAGACTCCATGGCACTGCACAGTTTAAAGAAGCAATGGGAGCAGATTCTGTCAGATTACAGTTCCCATCAGCTCTAGGGAGCACAGCAGTTTGAAAGTAATGGTGGCAGTAACGCTCTAGCAACACATGAAGGCCACCCGTTCTGTCCCCTCAGTTTAAGGGGGCAAAAGGAAAAATGAGGATGAAATGCCCTCCCCTGAAGGACTCTCCGGACCTCACACAGGAGAAAAGCTCAAACAAGGGCCTGACCCTTCTTTTTAATGAACGCTCTCTACCAATCAGGTTGCCGGTTCTAATGCGGAGCAGGAACAGGATCTAGATGTGGGGAGAGGTAGGCTCCCCTTGGGGCGGCTGCTGAATGTGGGCAGGCTTAAAGCAAGGGGTCCAGTTGGGCCGGTGGTGGGGGATGCTTGCCATGGTCCACCCTCGAGTAAAAGAGGGTAAAAGCTGCCCTGTGGGTCCAACACAGCAGAGACCCTCTTCTTGTCTCTCCCCTTGCCCCTTTGCCCCCTGCCTCAAACCATCCTTCGGATATTCTTCCTGTGCTTCCAGAGTTGCAAACTGACCTTCTTGCACTGCGGTGTCTTCCTGGGATGGCCTCACCTGAAGCTGATGTTCCGCAGCATGGCCTGGGAGGACCTGCACAGCTGCCTGGTGGATGCCTGGAAGTATCTGGTCAGTGAAGGCCTGGGTGTCGGCAGTTTTAAAAGAGGGGAAAGTCACAGCAGGAATGGCCTAGATCACACCTTGATGAATATTTTAGAAATCTGGCTCAGATGATAGAGAAGAGCTCATGAGATCCATGTATGAGTCCTGGATCACATCGGTTGAGACAGGAGTCATAAGACAAATACCACAGGGGCTGAAGTGGAGGAACTGCTGGTTCACAAAGAAGGATGCTCGGATGTGTTTCGTGAACTTCTGGTGAAAAGAATTGAGGCAATTAACCACTGTCCTTTACATAGGCAAATCCCCCCCATCAGAAACCCACATCAGTGCCCTTGTTGGGTTCTATATCTCAGCGCCACCCACTGCCATCTGAAAAGCTGGCTCTGAGTGTTCTGGAAGTGCCTGTACTTTATGCTAAATGCATGTCATGTTGTTGACAGAAGGTCAAATTTATGTTTCACTTCAAAGGTACAACATTTTCCGAGGATGTTATGGCATCAAAGTGACCCAGCACAGAATCTGAGGCTAGGGAACTCTGTACACTCCTTGCTTCTTCTCAGGTTTAATACTGTATATGGAAGTGGCAGGCCTATACCTGGGGATGAACCGCATGGGAGTAAAACCCATAGCACTCGTGGAGACTCATTTCTTAGTAAACGTAATGTATGTAATAAACATGTGTAGGATTGCATTGGGAATAAGCAGTTGCTCTGCCATTCGTTAAATGCAACAGTAGCTCAGTAGCCATTTGCTGTTTTGCCGGGCCCATTGGCCTAACCGGCTCAGGTGGCCTCTCTGTAGGCTCAGGTAGCCCTCTAGATTCCTTGGCTTACCCAGAATTGTTGGCCTCATTCGCACCAGAACCATCCAGGCCCCCCTGTTTCCGCTGTAACAACCAGCCTGATGACCCACCAACTTGGCCATGCAGAAACCTTGCCCCCATTTCTCCCCCCCCCCCATGTTTTGGAACTGCTCCCAAATGGCTAAGGCTCCAAGTAGGGCCTGGTAACTGATGCCTCTGTTCACTTTCCCTGCAGATGAGAAACAACCATGACAACATACATGTTTTCATATCCCAGGCCTTGGAATATCTCCATCATCCCCGGACTGAAATAAGGCACGCTGCAGCACGATTCACCGGTAAACTGAGAACAGCTGCTTTGCTTCTTTTGGATATTGGATCAGAGCCTATTTTGATCCCTCCTCCTTTCTGCTTAGAGTGCCTCTTCTGCCCTCTGTTCAATTAGTGGAATTTCTGGATGGAAATCTTGGCTCTTGGATAAAATTTTGAGGCACCTGCGAGCAGGATTTCCAATGTCATTTAGTAAGCTGAGTATCATGTCACTAGTTTTATGCAACCAATCCGGAAACATATTTTTGGGTCTATGGAATAAGTCAAAATAGTTGAATTCAATTGGAGGTGCTTCCATTCAGGGTCACATTTCAGTACAAAGCCTGAACTGAGCCATGTGTGCAATCAATCAAATCCTATCTCCCTTGCCCCACCATATTCCTGTTCAGTTTAAGAGCAGGTTTCTATGGGTTGGTTTCTATGGGGTGGATAGGGCAAATGGGGCACAGCCCTTCCCAAACTCAGGCTACCCCATCTCAGCCAATCCATTCCTCATGCACAGGTTGACTTTTGGAGCTACTCAAAGGGACTCACCTTAAAAGCAAAATGCAACGGCTCTTGATCTTGCCTCTGACCCATGATGACCCTATGAATGAGTGACCACCAAAATCTTCTATCATTGACAAATGTTGTATTGCCGACTCTTGCTCTTAACTGCATTTGTTAAGAGCATTTGTTAATGTGCTGTCAAGTCAGAAAAAAGTCATATATTGTTTTATTTATTATTTATTAAATATATTTTAACCCAGCCTTTCTCATTAAAAGGACTCAAAGTGGCTTGCATTGTTAAAAGACAATTTAAAAGCTAAAAACAGCAGGTGTACAAATACTAAAAAGGATCAGATACCACACTAAAAGAGGGTAACCAAAAGCAACACCAAAAACACATTCAAAGAAGCAAGGCACAGCCATCCCTTTAAAAACCACTGCTCAGACAGCCAGTTACTCAGGGAAAGCTTGCCCATAGGGCAAGGTCTTTGCCTGCTTGGGGAGGGACAACAAAGACGGGCCCAGCTTGGCCTGTGGTGGTGGGGAGCTATAGTGTGAGGGAGCTATAGTGAGCCTAACAGCGCTTTCAAGGTGAGACAATGAAGGAGTGGTTTTACTCATTCCGCACCCCCAGTGAGCTTTCATGGCTGAGTGAGGATTCGAACACAGGCCTGCTGGGTCCCAGTCTGTCACTACTCCACACTGGGTATCTCAACCGCATTTAAGTACATCCAAATGTCATTGCTGCGCTGTACCTGCAGACATCTTCCTGCCCTTGAATTCCCATGCAGTTGCAACCAACTGTGGCAAACAAATACTCACCAGGTCTTTGTGAACCAGTCTGCATACAGGTGACTTTCTAACATGGCACTTTGTCTGCTGGACAGTTTTCATTTTTCTGAGTGACACATAAAGCGTAATGGTGTGTCTCCCATCAAAGCCAGGATAACACTGCCATGACGAAACCGCGGGAACCATTCTTGCTGGGTGTTAACAAAAGAAACAATTTATCTAATTCCTCAGAGTTCCAATCCCACCTCATCTATTCCTCTGAAAGCATTTTTGATGTCTCCGTGTTTGTTTCTGTTCAGTCCATACATGGCCCTATATATAGCCTCACTTCATAATTCATTTTTCAGACTTCCATGCCCTGTTTCCCCAAAAATAAGCCCTATCCTGAAAATAAGCCCTAGTATGATTTTTCAGGTTCATAGAATCATAGAAAAGTGAAGTTGGAAGGGGCCTACAAGACCATCAAACCCAACCGCCTGCTCAGTGCAGGAATACAATCAAAGCATATCTGCCAGGTGCTTATCTACGTTTTTCTTGAATGCTCGTAATATAAGCTCCACCCCCAAGCTAAGCCCCAGTTAAGCGAAACCCCGCCTTCCACCTTTGTGCAGCAACCAGAAGAAGATGAGACGACTGTATTTGAATAAATGTAGATCATTGTACATGAAAAAATTATCCCCTGAAAATAAGCCCTAATGTGGTTTTGGAGCAAAAATTAATAGAAGACTCTGTCTTATTTTCGGGGAAACATGGTAATTAAATTTAATTTTTTAAAAACGCACATTTAAAACAAATTACTTAGAAAGGTGGCAAGAAAGGTGGCCCTTAGAGTGGCCATAAGCATGAGGGAGAAGGAGAGATCTCAAGAATTCCAGCTTTATAATAATGGAATAAAGAAGGGCGGGAAATGAAAGTCAAACATGATGATAAAGATCAGGAAGGAAAAACCCCGGCCTTCTCTCACAAGACTGATTTCTGTAATCTGCATGAGCTAATGCAACACATTTTCCGTGCAGAGAGCACCAGCAATGTATTTGATTCAATGTGTTAGTGGTATTCACACAAAATTCTACATATTTGGGGGAAATAACCATTTAATTTTTAAATGCAAGTCACTTTATTTGGGTTGCATTAATAACGTGAATGCTTGCTATACTGTATTTGCTGTTTTAATTCCTTTTGTTGTTGTTGTCATTTTTATTTTCACTGGTGAATCTGAACTCATTTCAGGCTGGAGCATTCCTAATCTTGTCTCCTCAAATGTGTGCAGCGCATTTGTATCCTTCCTTGGTAGTTTGCCCTTCCCTTCCCATTCCTATACATGTCCCACGTGAATCTGAGCCCATTTCCAGCCAAAGCATCTCCCACGTCACTTTCTCATAAGAGTTATTTATGGTTGTAGCCCCACTGGGGGCAAAAAGGTGACCTGCTAGTGCAGTAAACAAGAAAAAACAAACAAATGAACAGCCAGAAGCCTCTGCGCTGGCTTGGCCTCCGCAGCCAGTCGTGTGCTTGTTCGCCTTCCATTTCCTCCAATTGCACCCACCTGGTCTACTAGAGAATATGGTAAAATGTGGAACCAATAAAATGAGGCAAAGGGGCCTGAGGCTGTTCATTCCACCACCCCCATAGGTTGCACTCTCAACTATTACAGCTCAGAGCTATCAAAAAACCTGGAACAGGAGGACATCGTCTACCTGAACAAAGGTGAGGGAGGCTCCCCGTTCCTTGGAATGCAGCAGCCAGCCGTAGCAGACCCCTGCTTGAAGGAGGGGCCTGCCCCCTGTGGCTCTTGCACCCGAAGGGGATCTGGAGCAGGCGGGTGATGCCATGGGAGGAAGAAGACCGGGGAGGTGGCTGGTCAGTGACCCTCCCCATTCCAGGTTTTTCTGTAGGGGTTGTGCTGCCCCTTCTGATGGGCTCAGCAGCATCCCTGTAATGGACAGGGGTTTGTGCCAGATTCTGTTTTGTAGTCTGTTCCTTTATTTTCTAGTTTTCCAGGAGATGGAATCGAGCCCTGATCGAAGCATGGTGCGCTTTGCCAAAACGTACCGGGTGGTTCTGCAGAAACTGTCTGTGAAGCGGAGGTGAGCCGTAAGAACAGCAAAGGGGCAGCCCCAGGACTTGGAAATAATGCCTTGATCAACACAAACTGAGCAGACCATTGGGGGGTGGGGGGGAGGGGGGCATGCTAGTGAACCTGAAAGCTGCACCCAGTGTGCCACACAGAAGTAGAAAGTTCCTTGCGTGATGTGTGGCAGCCATGGCTCTCACCTCAAGCAGGCTCTGCTGTGCGGTGGTGGGGGTGGTGGGGAAGGCATCCTACCCAAGTTCTGGCTGTAATAAGTTCCCTATGCCAGGCGGATGTGGTCGGCACTGACATGGGCTCCCTGAGCTAGAACCAGGAGGAGGAAGAGGTGGTGGTGGTGGAGGTGGAGGAGGAAGAGGCTCATGGTCTGACTCTCTGCCTACAGGTTAGCTGGAGCTGGTGAGAAGGATGGCCAAGACACTGAGAGCCGCGGTGGAGGTGAGGGACGGTGTGCGCACCTGCCCTGACCCTTGGGCGGGGTGGGTGGGGGTGAGGAGGCAGAAGGTTACTCCCCTCCCTTTAGCAGAGCAGCAACAAGGAGTATTAAAACACCCCTGTGGTGAGCTGATAAAAATCTGCAAAGGGGTGGCGGGTGAGGGGGGGGGCAGCATTATATAACTTCCGGCCTGAAAACTGCCTGCTCTTCTATAATCCATTCCAGGGGGTTAGTTGGCTGTAGCATTTCAGTTATTTTTTTATGTCTCCTCCTCCCTCCCCCACCAAGGAAGCTGACCTGGACATTTTCGGTTATATTTGTCACCCTGCGAAAATGTTTTTCTATCCCAAGGGTTTTTGCATCTTACCTGGTTCATACATTTATTATCAAATTGCATTGTGTTTAGTATCATATAATCCAGACTCTCCCAACCGGCTGCCCCACCTTCAGATGACTTCAGCAACTCCTATGAGCCATGGCTGGCTAGGGGATGATGGACGTTGCAGGGGAAGAACATCTGGAGGGGAAAACACTCCCACAGACCATTCTACGATCAAATGAGATTGGGAGGGTTAAGGATAACAGTGTGGAAACGATCAATCCGGAAAGCCCTAGGTTGCTTTTAACCATGGCTCCGTTCAGAGCATTCTGAATCACACCTTCCTCTTGACTGTATGTGTGCGTTTTGTGCCATCATGTCAAAACCAACTTATAGGGACCCTAACAGAGTTGTCAGGCAAGTAAGATATTCCGTTCAAGTATTGCCAGTTGTCCTCTGCCAGTGAGTTTTCATGGCCAAACAGAATTCGAACCCTGTTCTCCAGAGTCATAATCCATTGCTCTATCCAGTACATTACACCCCCAAATTAACACTTTTGCTCGGCTGGATCTTCCTTTGGTGGAGGCTGTTGTAGGAAGCCCTTCTGGCTAGGAAAGCACAATCCAGCTTCATCTTTGTTCTCTGAAAGATGCCAACTGATCCTTGCCCACTGGCTAAGCACAAATACTGGACTTGTCCTAAAGGCTTTTCCTTCAGCTGGGGGTGGACCTCATCTTCCCCATCACTCACTGGGACCCCAAGTAAGAAACCAAAGGCTGGATTTTTGCTGCACAAGAACAGGCACTCCAAACCAACGTGATGAAAGCTAAGATCCAAGGAATGAGTGCTAATAGCAAATGTTGACTCTGCCAAGAAAAAGATGAAACTGAGTCACACCTCATCTGCGGATGTCCAAAGACTGCACAGATTACAAAAGTGGACATGATAGAGTGGCAATATGAGTGCATTGCCAATTATGGTAAATATATAACATGCTAGCCCCCCCAAAACCCTGGTAGAAAAGGTGTCAATATCTTGTGGGATTTCCAGATCCAAATGGATAGGCACCTTGAACATAACACACCAGATATAGTAGTAATAGAACGAAGAAAAGTCTGGATCATTGACATTGGAAAACCGGTGGATGCCAGAGTTGAATATAAAGAACTGGAAAAACTAACAAAGTACAGAGACCTGGCCATCGAAGCATCTCGCCTCTGGAAGAAACACACTTCAGTAGTCCCCATAGTCATTGGGACTTTGGGGACAATATCAAGAAATTTCACACAGTATTATAAGCAGTTGCAGATCTCAGAAATAACACAATCAGAGATACAAAAAGTGGCACTATTAGGAACAGCATACATCTGCGTCAGTATTTAACAAATATTAATGTTTTTGGTTAACATTTGTATGTTCTACAATATCAGTCAATGTTTTTATAATCTTGATAAACTGTGTTGGTGTTTTTGAGCAATAGTCCAGTGTTGTGAGGTCACTTGTGATCTGCTGCAACACTCCTAGGATTTCCTAGCTATAAAACACTCCAGAGGGGTTTCCTAGCCCCTCCTTCTGATGACATACTGGGACTGTGCAGGCTTCCGAAGGCACGTAATAGGGGGAAGGACACATAACTCCATGAGACGCGCACACATACTGCAAACTGTTTCATAGGAAGACTTTTAGGAATCTGAACTTTCAGCTTCTGGCTGCACAGCCAAGTGCCCTAATCCCTCAAGCTACACCTGTTCAGATACTGTTTAAAGAAAGTAAACAATAGTTCTAAGAGGAGGAGTACAGTTCAGCAATGCTATCCGTGGTAACAGAATGCTGACATGAAGCAGAATGACCAGTGAAGCAGCTGAGCTTTCAATAGAGAGAAGACGAAATTCTTAACTAGAAATTTAACCCAAAAACAAGAAAGTCAGCTCATCTGAAATACAAACATTCAAATAGCAAAGAAAGTAATGTATCTGGGAATTTGCTTGCTAGGTTGCCTTCTCTCCTATCCCAGGGCTGCACACAGCAAGAGAGATTGGGCCTGATTCACTGATGTACTGAGTTACAGATTGGCGGAGACAGAGATGGGTCGCTTTCTGCACAAAAGCAGCAAAGCAGGGGTGGGGGGAGCTGGAAACCCAACCTTACCTCTGCTTCCCTTTCCCAGAGAAACAGCCCGGTGAATGGGAAAGCCGGGCATCCAGCCCGCTACTACTGTTGCGGCCAGAATCCCCATGGCCAGAAGGACCACCGAGGCTGGAAGGGACTGATTTCCTTGGCATGCAAAGCCCCAGGCGATCCAGGCGACCACTCCTCCAGAGAGGTACTGTGCACTCAGCCAGACTGCTGTGCAGAAATGTCCCAGCTCCATACGGGGGAGAGGCAAGGGGGAGGGCACCACACACCCGCCCACAGGAGGGCCCGGGGGAGGCTAATGGAAAAGGGATATGTTTTGGTCCACTGCAGGTAACCCGTCTTGCGAACCCGGAGACCAAGACCAGGGGCTTTCACCAGAGGCTGCACCCAAGAGTTCCTCTTCCAGGAGGAGCACCAGCGCCGAAAGGAAGCCAAGCCCTGTGCCCCAAGGGGACCACCTGAGCCGGGGGGACAATCGACCCTAAAGGTAGGGAGGGAAGTTTAGGAAAGACTCTTGGCCAAGGAAATGCACCCCAGGGTCCTGCCTGCCCCCCCTGTGGCCTCCTTGAAGCGGGACCCCCACCCCCACCAGCAGCACTGCTCGTTTTCCTCCTGGGATCGGTTTTTGTCAGCCTCCGAGGGAAGTGTGACAACACATACCTGGCGATGCGGTGTGCTAACTGGCATGCTGTCAGTCTGGGAGTGGGGAACATCGGACATGTTTTGCTCCAGGAATAGACAGGAGACCTGGGTGGCTTTGCAAATGAACCATAGCCGCTCTCCTCTCTTGCCAACGGTTCCCGTGCCTGGCAAGTGTTTCCTTATTTCCAGAAGGAGAAGCCCTACAGCTGTCCCCTTCAGCCTCAGGGCTACTGAGTAAGCAGGAGACGCCAAGGGCATCATCATCATTATCATCTGCTGCTGCTGCCACCAATATCACGACTATAGTTCTCCAGAAGGAACAGAAACGAAGACTGATCCTGACTTGATGTTTTGTTCGGTTCTTCACTGGACTGATACATCCACTTAGGACAGATACAACTGCCCAGAAGTTGCGCACTCTGCTTGGCACGCACCAGCACCAAAAGGTGTCAGGTTCTGTAACTCGTGTCCCCCCACTCTACTGTCTTTGACTGCGGCGAGGTTTTGGCCACATCCTCATGAACCAGTATCTTGCGTGCTTGGGCAGGGGCTTAGCTCCACCATGCCTCTGTCGTTGCACTTGATAAACAAAACTTTATGGATCAAATACCACTAACAGAACTTGAGAAAGCTGCCTCATGGCCTTTCAATGGGCAACGGCTTCCAGTGATGTTTACTCAAGAGAGGTAACTAGCTAGTGCTGGTTGAACGTGTGTAAGGGTAGAGGGGGCCCCTCCTGAGACAGAGTACTCTGGGGTACAGGCAGCCCCTCAAAGGGTGTGTTGGGGGATGTAGCGCCCACCCCACCCCCACCCCTTTAAAAAAGGGGGGGTTTCCAAGCCTTTTTTTGTAATCACCGAAAGGCACTGCACTCTTCACCAGAGACGGCTGAACTCTCCTCCCCGCTTGGCTACCGGCCGCAGGTGGGCGGCTCCTGCAGGTGGGCAAGGGGGGGGGAGATCAAAGGAGGGGCAAGAGGGCCGGAGGAGCCTTTCCAGCCAAAGAATAGCACACACCCCTCAGCTTTTATTACAGTCCCAGGAGCGCTGATTTGGGCTGTAGTTAGAGTACAACTGGTACCATCTGACTTAACTGACCCTGGCTGGGGGAGTTACTGGGATTTAAAGTGCACCAACCTTTGGGCCCCGCTCCTGCCTCATCTAAGGTGTTGTCCAGATGGCCTCTGGTTTTGTTTGAAGGTGCTGGTGAGGGTACAGCAGGGCATGCCAAGGCGTCATTCAGAGTGAGGGCACCTGAAAATCACCAGCCAGCTGGCGTGGCCCTGCAGTGACAGAGGATGCCACAGGACACCAGTCCTCCCCACCTGCCCCCAAAGTCCAGCTGCCTGGCTAAAGCCAGCCTTCATAAATTGGACGGTCTGTGAAGATATGGTAGAGTTCAAAATGTGGATTTAATGTTTCCTTACAGACTGCTTGAAGTTACAAGCTAGATATACCAGTTTAAAAATAAAACAGTACCTCTACCCGCCGGAGTCACTTCAGTTTCTCCAATATAGGACGCTGTGCGTCATGAGGCAGTGCAGCTTTCCTCCTGCCTCTTTAACTCCGGAGAAGGAGATGATGGCTGGGCAGGGAAGAGAGCAAGAGAGGGTTCTGGCTGCCTGCGGACTATCAGATGAGCCATCTGGACAGGCCAAGGCTCTTTGCCTGCCGCTCAGAATCACCCTTGCCACACAGCACCTTCAACACCCTCAGGCAAGGCCTGCAGGCAGGCAGAAACTGCCCAATGGCTGTGGCCCAAAGCCTACCCCTGGGTCATACAGATCCAGATCCAGCTACCTGAGGCGCTGCGACTACCCAAGGACACGCAGCGTCTCCAGCATAAGCAGACACTTTGTTCGCTTGCCGACACTACCCACCCCATACTTCATTTATGGATCTGGGCAACAGTCTCTCCAAGTGAAGGAACATTTATTACACAGTTCTAAAGTAATGGGCAGCATCTGTTCTGCAGGCCCCCAGGCCAGGCTTTTGCTCTTGAAGCTGTCATGGGCTGGGGAAAAGCCTAGGCAGCCGATGAAGCAACAAAAATACACAACTGAAGGGGGAGGAAGATGAGGCAGTACAAGTCTCTCTTGGTGGGTCAGAAAAGCAATCAAGGCAATGGGCCAATCCACCTAAGGGAGACGGAGTGGGGACAGTGATGATGCGTGGCAGCTGAGGTAGGGCTGCTCCTGCCTTCTGTCTCCTCAGTGTTTCAGTTTCCAAGAGCGGGGAGGAACCCCGTATATGGTCAGTGGAGCTCAGCCAGGTGGAGGTTTCCTCCTGCCCCAGCAACGGCCACGCAGAATCCTCCGGGTGCCACTGCCACCACATGAACCGGCTTGTTGGGGTTCAGCAAGATTTCCCCAACTACCTGTTGGGCGCGGGAAGAAGAAGCCATTGGCTGGGGGGCAGCCACCCACCGAACCACAGGGAATGGCAGGCTTCCCGGGCAGTATGGCAGCCCGGCAAGGAGCCCCATCCCCATCTGGGGCACAGCACCCTCTTGGCTTGCAGAAAGTTCTTCTGCGCCCACGGCACAGACACCCTCACCTCACTCCTCCAAGCTCGGGGGCATTCCCATGCCTCCCCTCCCTCTCCTTTGGACTTCATGGGGGTGTGTGGCAGCTGACGACAGACCCTCGCTTGCCCAGGGAGCCACAAGAACAAAAAAGGGACCCGAAGGCAGGTCTCTCCAGGGCCTAGCCTGGATGAGTCCCCCATCTCAGCCCCAGACAGAGGAAGGCAGGTTCCATTCCTTGGCAGCTCCAGAGCTTTGTCCTTCCAAGGTAAGGAAGACCCCTTTCCCTCTGTTGCTCTGGAAGCCCCCCCCCCCATTTAGAGGCTAGTGATCCTTCACACACTCCTACAGTTTGGCTCCTGGATCTTGCTGGTCCCCCTTACCTGACTTGTGTCCATGTGGATAACGGTGGCCCCACAGGAACCACTGCCCCCAGCCAGCACCATGTCTTCAGCGCAGAACCGGGCTGAGTAGAGGAATTCTCCCTGGGCGGAGCTTCCTGGGAACGGCAGGTTCTGACACAGCCGTGACGTGCGCAGGTCCCAGAGCTGGAGGGCATTGCGGGGCACCCAGGAGCCCGTCAGGACAAGGTCTCCCTGGTCAAACCCAAAACAAAGGAGGGATGCCGGCCGGCCGCCAGAGGAAGGGCCACATCAGGGCAGCCCACCTTGTCCCTGGCTCATGCCAGTGTGGTTGCAGTGTTCACAAGCTGGCTCAGCAGCAGGGCTTGTTCACCCAGAAGGTTGTTCCTACCAGGCAGGGGAGCCTGTGCACCCCTGGCCCAACCCCGGCCAGCTTTAACAGAGCCGCCCTAAGGAGGCGCCCCTCCAGCCCAAGCCACACACGCCTCCCACACGGGACGGGGTGAGTGGGTAGGTGGGTAAGAGGGCTTGGTGCCCCTCTCAGGGCAACGGGGCCGCCTGCCTCCGTCCCTCCCCCGGCGGCCATCCCCCCTCCCCTCCCCTCGTGCCCTCCCCTCGTGTCCCTGCTCAGGGGCGGCCTGGAGGCAGCGGCTGGGCCCGGAGAGAAAAGAGCGAGAAGCCGCCGTAGGGGCTCCCTTTCCCCCCGGGCGGTCTCCGAAGGCAGAACGAGCCAGCGCACCGGGCTTGGCCTCCCTCTTCGGCCTCCAGCCCTGGACCGCCCGCCTCCCTTCTTCTCACCTTGACATCAATCCCGGGGCCGCAGATGTGGGGCCCGCTGATCGCGCTCCGCGCCCCCTTAGGCACACGCTTGTCCCACACCTAGGGGGCACCCAGAGGAGGAAGGCGTCAGCCGGTCCCGGCCGGTCCCCCGGGTGAGGGTTCCGCCGCCCGCCCGCCCGCCGCCTCGCTCGCAGCCTGGGCCCGCCGGGCAAGAAGGCTCTTGCCGGGGCCGCTCACCTTGACCGAGTTGTCCCACCCGCCGGTCAGAAAGAGGTGCAGCTCCGTGGGGTGGAAGCGCAACGCGAAGATCCGCCTGGAGTGGCCGCTGAGCGGGCCGAACTCGTCCCCGGCCATGAAGTCCGGCGGCTCGAAGACCTGGAAAAGCTGCGCAGGCAGAGAGAGCGCGGTG